GCCTATGTTTTCACTCTGGGCCCATTCCAGTACTTGGATTTCTGGGCTGAGAAGCGGGTCCGAAACGCGACGAGAGAGTCTAATGGCTCCAAAATCTAAGGCCATCTCTGGCATCATTTTTTTTTTTTTTTTTAACAAACAATATAATCTATATTCTATACTAAGAAAATGGGTTGGAATTAGCCTTACAATGAGTTAGTAATAATATAATTTAAATTATTTTTTGGTGAGAATCGAACCTAAGACCTCTCACTTACAAATGAAGATGAATACCGCTAGATTGTAGTACTAAGTGGTATCTAGTATCCCTGTTACATTCAATTTTTAGTTAAAATAACAATGAATGTATCTGAATTATTGGTACTCAGTTTTAAAATACAAATTTAGATTCTAGAAGGATACCAAACATGCCTTAAAGAATTATGCTCGATATTCGTTTTTTTTGTCGTTGTTGTCGAATATGGTGTCTGTCAAATTGAATATATGGAGAAATTCTAGCGTTTGAAATTGTCACACTTCAAAATCATTCTAAAATTCGAGGTGTGAGATTAAGAGGAACAAAAAGTAGAAGGTGATAGTTTAAGAGTGTAAATAAATTATTAACAAAAAAAGTCAGACAAAAGAAAATTTAAACTCATTAAATCATATATCCAAAAACTACCAATGGAACTTTAAGATTCCAAATAAAGGACTTCTTGTTGTAATAAAAACTCTGAAAACGACATGTACCTAAAATTCATTAAACATAGCTCATTTGTCCAACGAAAGTGAAAATTTTCCAGATTCATAGCAGACATAAACGACTTACTTGTGTCGAAGTTTTGCAGGTTTTTGAGTTTCAGAAGTATGGATAACTGAAGTCTAAAACAAACATGCTTAAGTTTTTTCAACTTTTCGAACCAAATGTCAGTCGCATATTGTATTTAATCTCATTCACATGTGATTTGTATACCATCTTTTGACATGTTAGTTTGTCACGAGCGATATGTGAATAGTAATAGGGCACAACCCTCCCCATAGAATGGAAAACTACTACTCCCTAAAAGCTGCATATGGGTGGGAATCAAAATTCCCTTTCCCTCTTTCATCTATGGTTCCACCATTTGGATGTCGTATGGGACTACTTCTTTTTGAAGCATTTTGGAACAAAATGCTTTTGTTATAAACTCATTCAAAACTTTATTAAAATTCAAGAGCAAGTGCTTTTTGAAAAAAGCAATTGGGGGAGTACATTCTAGATGTGCTTTTCGGAAGGAGCTTCTACGATGCAAAATTAATTTTAAGTTTTTCTGCAAACATAATTAGAATATTATTTATTGTTCCATATATTGGGTCTCACTTATATAAAAGGGGAGAAAAAACTTGTTTTATAAAAGGATATTTCACCCTCACTGTAGGAGGATGACAAACCGTAGCCTCTCTAGTACCAAATCTCTATGTACAATGTAACCCTCATTTTACATAGTGAAAACATGGTTTACACCAATGTGGACGTAACCCCAACTTAAGTTAAACCATGATATATCGTTGTGTTCTTGTGTGTGTGATTTACGGTCGAATTTACGTTGATTCAAGATTGCATCAATATTTTTAATTAACATAAAACATTTCTAATCATTCTAAAAGTAATCCTAAACAAACTCGAACTCTTATACAACCATTGGATTTGAGATCAAAACCAAATTTGAGTTTTGTGCCTATGATTTATTGGAGAACCCTCATCTATATGGTCCCCCTATGAAAAGAAATTGAAATTGGCCTATTGCGTACATGACATGAAAAAAAGTAGGTTAAGCGTCATTCTAACTTGGTCAAATTCATCCAAATTCTTACAGGACTGGAAAAAGAAATGGAGATATGGCCTCTCCTTTCTGTGTCCAAACTTCACTATCCTTTATTCCTTTCACAAGAAAATAATTGGAATTGTACATAAATTCATGATTCATCTGTCGAGTTTATGCACCACAAGTTCACACCGTGCATAAAAACAACAGATCGATCAGATTAGCCTCTCCTTTATTTTGTTGGAGAACAACATTAGAAATTTTCATTTACAGTTTAGATCCTGTAGCAGTGCTTACATCAACAACTTTAAGGAAAAATCGAGTTTTCGGGATCGAAAGCTTGGACTCAAAAATCGTGCCGAGAGTGGCGATCAGCAGCCTCTTCACTGCCGTGGTAATGCCGCCCATTGCTACTAACTCCCCATATGCCGCCGGTATAGTAGTACTCTTGCCAAACGATATGGGCACCGATCCCTTAAGTAAGACCATCACAAACTGTGCAAGCAAAGAGAAGTTCATCAGTTAAACAAACAGAGGGTGGTTCGAAAAATGCTAAGTACAGTCGTCCACGTGCGAGTGAATAACTCCTAATCGTTATTGATGCAATGTAGAGCCCACATGGCCGAGACTGAACCACTCGCACGTGGACGGTGGACGGCTCGAGTACAACCCTAATTAAGATTAGTGGGTGCGAGTCAAATTAGGCATATATGTGTAAGCAGTACCGATTATTAAGTGAGTAAAATCCTAAAGATCCGGAAAGAAGGTAGTGGGATTCCAACCAAATGGACAGCTACTCCAGTGCTTTATATTATGTCAACAGACAGCAACTGGCTTATACAATTTTAAACCCTAATCTCCATGTAAGCTAGAGACCTTCAATCACTGCCACAGACAGTTTCCTGAATAAATAAATAAATAAACTAGGAAAAATAAAAAATCACTAGCAGAGTGAACATATATAGTTCAGCATCCCTTGAACAGAAGGGCTTTGGCCAAGGCAGGAGAAGAACTTACTTACACTCGGGCAAGTTATTACGATGATATCCACAATCAGTAAGTAATACATCATATCATCAGCAAAGTTACACGCGTGACAGTAAATTATTGGCTTGTGATACTCACACGGTGACTTTTGAGGTGTAGGTCGCTTCTCATTTCTGAACCATCAAAACTCCCCTTATTCCTTCAGATTTGGACATGGCATCCCCATCTGCTTGAGTTGACTTTCCAACTTGGCAGATGAACGAACACAGCCCAGAAATTACCATTTTACACAGATGAGATTTTGAAGTTGATGAATAAAAAATATTATAAATATATATTAAAAATACCCAACCCAGATCAAATCCCACTGTTGATCGACCAAAAGCTAGTTTAGTGGGTCTTTATTTCTAGACTCCAGAAATAATTAATCACTTAGGCCAGTCAAAGATTACCTATTTTGCGTTGCAAACAAAAGTCAAATCTATCGTTCTCTACATGACGATATAGCAACTGCGATTAAACTAATAAATGGTGCAAACTGTTGATGCCCCATCTCCAACATCGGTTGTGTTTTTTTTTGTGTGTGTGAGAGAGAGAGAGAGAGAGAGCTTACGTCTTCGGGCTTTCCGGTAATGTCAGAGATGGCTTTGGTGGCTTCGGAAAAGATGGAACCAGTGTCGACTCCGTCAAGGGTGACGTTTGTGGAGATGTAAAGGCAAGGCATGTTTATCTTCCGATCTTCCTTCTTTTGGAGTTTTGAGTTTTGACCTCCAAAACTAAAACTTGTTTGTGAATTTGTGGGTGGAAGTAAATATGGACTGAAGTTTGAGATGTGGGATTAGAACGAGACCACTGCTCTTTCAAAAAGCAAGCTCACCTCAATCTTGGTCTGGATATTTATCTATAGAGTAAATTGTAGTAATGGTCCCTCAACTTTAATCAAATTGGAGCAATGGTCCTTCAACTAAAAATCTATTACCATTGGTCCCTCAACTTATCAAAATGTGTAGCTATAATCATTTTCATCAAAATTTTGTCAAAATAAGTTATGTTAGAATGACCATTTATACAATTAGGGTCCCTTAACTCATAAAATTATGTAATTATGGTCCTTTTTGTCAACTACGTTAAATTTGTTGTCAAAACGAGTTATGTTGGAAGAACCATTGCTACAATTGGGTTAAAGTTAAGGGACCATTTCTCTAGTTGAATTAAAGTTGAGGGATCATTGGTAATGAATTTTTAGTTGAGGGACCATTGCTCCAATTGAGTTAAAGTTAAGAGACCATAGCCACAATTTACTCTTTATCTATACGATAATGCTGGAGAGATTGGGAGTGTATTCAATTGGGATTTTGAGGGATTTTAATTATTTTAATGAATCTAGGGGTATTCAATCAGGATTTTAAGTGATTCTTTAAAATTGAATGTGTATTCAATCAAGATTTTAAGAAACTATCTTAAAATCCTTGCAAATCTGGGTGTATTCAATTAAGATTTTAAATAAGTTTATAACATTCCATGTATATTCAATTTGAATTTAATTTTGGAGAAATTAGGTTCTCATCCTTCCTTTTACTACTCCATTGATTAAAATCCTATTCCTTTTCAATTTTTGATCAAGGTCCTTGGGTATTAATATATAACATCATTAATTATTTCACTAATAAAATACTTTTTTTATTTCTAAATATATTCATTTAATGTTAAAATGTTACAATTAGTATATTTATATTTATGACTAATTTTTTGTCATATATTTTTAGTTTTAGTTTGTACCCATTTTTAATTTGTAATTCTTTTTTAATTTGTACCAATTTTATTTTCATTTTTAATTTGTACCCATATATTAATTTCTTTTTGTGCCCATATTTTTTAAAGTTTATTTGTATTTGTACCCATATATTTGTTTTATTTGTACTTTTTATTTTGCTAAATGTACCCATTCATATAAAACTTTTTAATCTTAAAATGTACTCATTCTTAAATATATCAATTTGTTATATGTAAAATGTATCTTTTTTTTACATAAAATGTATTCAAGTTTTTTCTAATCTATTTTTAAACTTATATGGGTACATTCTTTTTTCTTTGATTTTACAATGTATCCATGTCAAGTTTAATCGAAGAAATTTACTAATGTTATTAAGCCTAATATCTTTTTTTTTTTTGTGATTTTGAAGAATGTACCCATGTTTTGATACAATAAATTTTTTGGTTAATTTTGATGAATGTACCCATGTTTACACACACACACACACACAATAGTATATTTATATTTTAATATTTTTAATCCAACAAATTATGGTTTTTTTTATTTAAAATCTCATTTATATAAACAACTAAAATTTCTAATTTTTAATTAAAAAATATAGTAATGTACATAGAAATAAATTATCACATTAATTTCAGGGACCTCGATCAAAAATTAAAAACCAACAAGATTTCAATCGAAGAATATCTATAACTAAGGACCGCATCCAAAGTCTCCCTTTAATTTTAAAGAATTTGAAAATGTTAAGGAATTAGAGGGAATTGAAGAGATTTCGTAGTGTATTTTTAGCATCCACAAATCTCACCTCTCACCATGAGATTTTGAGAGAATTGAATCAAAATTTTACATGGAATCTCTACAAATCAATTAAACCCCTTAAAAATTCATGGATTTATAAATCTATTGAAATATCTCAAATTCCCAATTGAATACACCCCCCTTTTTTAAATCAAATTTGTAAATCAAAAGATGCAGTGATTGATGATTAAATTATTAGTTAAGTGTTAATTAACATGCTTAATTCCTATTACTGACACATCATTTGATTTGTAAATTTAATATAAAAATTGCGTCTCTTAGCATTATCATTATCTCTATGTATAAAATGAGAAGGAGAAAGTGAAGTTTTCAAAATACTATAAAATACCCTCCAATAATTAGAGATTTAAAATACTACCATTTAATTTGTGAGGGACAAAATAGTAAATTTGAACATTTTGAATGAAATTAAAATCTTAAACAAAATAAATAATTAAAAAAAAAACCACGTTTGTGGTGTCATTGTCACATCCCGGCCCGACCCCCACCACATCCCGAGCTCAACTCCACTGTAACACGATATTGTCCGCTTTAGGCTCCGACCACGCCCTCACGATTTTGTTTCTAGGAACTCATACAAGAACTTCCAAGTGGGTCACCCATCATGGGATTGCTCTAGTGCGAACTCGCTTAACTTCAGAGTTCTGATGGAACCCGAAGCCAGTAAGCTCCCAAAAGGTCTTGTGCTAGGTAGAGATGAGAATATACATATAAGGCTTACAAAATCCACTCTCCTGGACGATGTGGGATATTACAGTCATGGCGTTGCTTCATTTTTTTAACAAAAATATCTCCTAAAAAACATAATTTAATATTAAAAAAAAATCAAAATACCACACACATGTGTGACAAGAGGCTAAATATAGCAATAATCTTTTAATCATCCATTTTTCAAGGTTATTCATCTTCCATAAATTCAAGTTAGTGTTAAGGTTGTCGGAATGAGCTTGAAGGGGAAATGTATATTAAAATATTAAAAAAAAGGTAATGCTAGGTAGATTAAATTTGTACATAAAATTTGTAACTAAAATGATGTGTCAGTAATATGAATGAACACGTTTATCAACGCGTAGGTCATAATACAATTATCAACTTCCATGTCGTTTAATTTATAAAATTTAGTTTATAAATTTAGTTTCCTTAACATTACCCTTTTTAATAGTTTAACATACATTTCCCTTTAAAGCTGGTTTCGATAAACATACCAGTAACTTTGAATTTATGGAAGACGAATAACTTTAACGGGTTGAAATAGGCAGAAGCGCAGCTAGAAAGTTAGCACATCTTGTGAAGCTTTCAATATCCTTATATTGTCTCACTTTAGTAGAGAAGAATAATGAACAACTACTCAAATAAAATTGTAATTTACATATTTTAAATCAATATTCCAGCACATCGTGGGGAATTAATTATTCTTCCTTTGGTTTTGATTTTTTTTATTAAAAAAAATATGTAACTAGACTTAAAACATAAACAAAACTTAAATTTAAAAATTTAAAAAGGCAACAGCTACACCCGAATTGCATATTTTATATATGTAGTTGGAAGAAAGGCTAGTGTGTGTGTGCGCGCGCGCGCGTGTAGTTGGAAAAATTAGAGGGTTGCTATTTTTCAAGACCCGAATTGCACAAGTCATTATCCTTGTTTTGCCTATACACTAAAAAATATATTAGAGAAAAGGCCATATTTAGGTCTTGGCTAGTTGAAACTTTATAACTTGTTGAGATAGGTCGATATTAAGAATTAATTTGGCTCCTTAACAAATCCTTGTCAATTTACTATATGCTTGATTTACAAAATTTTATGTTTATTAAAAGTGGTAATTTTCACGCACTCCATTTTACCTTCCACACATTTTTTTAATTTAGTGAAGATGGTAAAACTATCAATATTCCTATAATACCCTCACTTTGATAGAGAAGAACATTGAACAACTACCCAAACAAAATAGGTACAAAATGGTAATTCTACACGTTTTAAATGAATTTTCGAACTCACTTTGTGAGTGGTTAATTATTCTTTCTTTATTTTTGAATTTCTTTAATTAAAAAAATATGTAATTAGATCTAAAACAAATATAAAACTTATTTTTAAACAAAAAAAAAAAAAACCAATTGCCAAAAGGCTAGCATTTATATATGTAGTTGGGAATTTTGGAGGGGTTCTACTTTTTTGGACCCGAATTGTGTAGTATCCCTTTGTATTTATCTAAATTCTTGAAAAGAGCAAATAATTAAAAAATAAATTGAAAAGGTATGTCGGAGGTGAAATGAAGTGTGTGAAATCATCATCCTATTATTAATGGTGCATAATTTGTCACATCTCGGCCCGGGTCCCCACCACATCCCGAGCTCGACTCCGCCGTAGCACAATACTGTCCACTTTGGGCCACGACCACACCCTTACGGTTTTGTTTCTAGGAACTCACACGAGAACTTCCCAGTGGGTCACCCATCATGGGATTGCTTTCGCGCGAACACGTTTAACTTCGGAGTTCTGATGAAACTCGAAGCCAATGAGCTCCCAAAAGGTCTCGTGCTAGGTAGAGATGAGAATATACATATAAGGCTTACAAGATCCTCACCCCTGGCGATGTCAAATCTTACAATCCACACCCTTTAGGGGCCCCACTTCCTCGTCGGCACACTTCCGACCAGGGATTGGCTCTGATACCAAATTGTCACATCCTGGCCCGGGTCCCCACCACATCCAGGGCTCGACTCCGCTGTAGCACGATATTGTCCACTTTGGACCTCGAACACGCCCTCACGGTTTTGTTTCTGGGAATTCACGCGAGAACTTCCCAATGGGTCACCGATCATGGGATTGCTCTCGCGCGAACTCACTTTACTTCGGAGTTCCGATGGAACCCGAAGCTAGTGAGCTCCCAAAAGGCCTCATGCTAGGTAGAGATGAGAATATACATATAAGGCTTACAGGATCTTCACCCCTGGGCGATGTTGGATCTTACATAATTCGCCAAGCACATGAGACTTAAAACTCATATTAATTACAATGCTTGGCTACTCAAGAATGATAAAAATGAGGATCGAATTCCTCCAAAACATTTAGCTACCAATTTACATAACTTTGTACTTATGATCAAAATTGTTAATATAATAAGTGACTCTGTAAATCTTTGTAAAAAAATCAATAAAAAATGAGATCGTGTAGTTATCGAACTATATAAAAAAGACTTAAGTAAAACCATTACGAACCATCTATATATTTGCTATATTTAATCGACTAAATGACCTTAATTTTAATTGATTTTTTTTTTGTTTTTTTGTTTTTTTGTAAAAATAGTCTTTACATAGTGATTCATATATTAACG